GGCAGAAAATGTGGGGCCCCGCCAGCTACTCTTCTTAGTCGAGGATTCTTCCTCACGAGTATTGAATGTTAAGTTGTTTACGAAAGAATGAAGAGGGAATAGAGTTTTAGGGTTTCGTTTAGTGCAGGGATAGGGAAACCGAGAGAGAGATGGGATCGTGGGGAATTTGGGTTAATGAGGTCTCGGCCCTCTTTGGCCCCCCTTTTTTCTAATACTAATAATAATAATAATAGTTACTAATAATAAAATAATAGTTACTAATAATAATAATAGTAGTTATTATTATTATTATTATTATTACTATTCCTAATCCCCGGTTGCAACTCTTCATACATACTCGTTAAACCAACCGTTCACGTATTATGGTCGAACCGAAACCCAAAGGTCGAAGAGTTACATTTCCTCCACCCTTATAAAAATTTCGTCCCCGATATTTGTTCGGAACTCATCTCTCCTTTAACACCGACCTTGTACTCCCTTGCCCCAAAAATTATTTTCACTATATCTGCTTCAATGGTGCTCCTTGCGCACCTCGCATAATGAAATTGCTCCTCTTATATCTCTCTTCGACCATAACAAGTACTCTCTCTTAGCCTGTATCTGCTTCAATGTTGCTACTTGCGCACCTCGCATAATGAAACTGCTCCTCTTATATCTCTCCTCGACCATAACAAGTACTCTCTCTTAGCTTTCAGCACTTGTGTAACTTGAGTGACTCACTGCCCTTTTAATTCTAAGCAACTTGGCCCGGTCGCATGCTAAACAAAATTTCGATTCGATATGATTCATGGTCCAACTCATTCAGTAGTTGGTTGTTTAATCTAGATCCAAATTGAGGTATCATATTTCCTCCCCACTTACGAGAATTTTGCCCTCGAAATTTGTTCTTTGTGTTGACCCCAAGCGTCGCTTGTAATACTTCCCCTTACAAGGAATTGTACCCCCTTTAACTCGTACGACATTGAACTATAAATCCTTCTCTCCACTCCCTGCAACTTCAATGTTGTTGGGGCTTCTTAACCCCTCACACCACCTAGGCTGAACCTATACATGAGAAGTTAATGCCCCTCTCCAACCACATGGTCACTGATGGCGGCTTATCTTCCATCTAGTCAGATGGTAAAACCATTTTAATGTAACTCTCGTCTAGGGTTGACCTCATAGGTCACCTAGGTCCTTGTATCTCCTAACTTTGCATCCCTTACTTTCTTCCTTGATGCCTCTTCTTATCCTTTAACCATAAACTGAGTGGTCATCTCCTCGGTACTTCTTGCTTAACCTCGAAACCTCACACTACTGATCTTACTTCTTGTATGCATTACAGGCATCCTTTGCATCTTTCTCTAGCTTTTTAGCAACTTTATGACCCCCTTCAAAAGTCATGACCTTCCCTTTGGCTCACTTGTTCACTCATGGCACCTAACTTAGCACTTCCTTATCGCCACCTGAATTTGAAGTTCTCGTACTATCCATTCTGCTACTCTTAGACCCTAGTTGAAATTTCCTAGTACGGTTTCCCCGTCCAAAAGATTTTTACCCGAGAGATTGACACCTTTCACCAACATAGGCAATGTTGGTTTTAATTTGGGGTATTCTAGCAGGTTCCCTAAACTTATATCCCTCTTACTTTGTTACTCGTGACTCTTCTTCCTAACATTACTCGCTAGTTCTAGATGATGCCCTTATTCTCGATGTATTCATTTAGGTTCTCATATTCTCTTCTTACTAATGTACCTTGAGTCCTTGACTTATACTGTTCTCCCTTTGATTATTCTTAGCGACCACAATTCCACCTTACAATTGGCAAAAATTTATTGATGGACTTTCCTTTGGATTGATTGTTCTCTGCTGGCAATCAACTTAACATCTCCTTGTCGTCCTTCATATCCTTGCTTTGACCCTTCCTCACTACCCTCATCCATGCATGCTCCTTGAACTAGAGTCATTTACGCATATTTCATTCATTCGTTGGTTACTTTCATGTCCTTCCTCGACTCCATACACTCTACGACATCACTATTGCCACTTCATAGTTATGCCCCTTACGACTTCCCAAAGTCCGGTACTACTTCTAGATTGTTTACCAATCATTAAGCAATTTTAACGATAATTTCGCACAAGGAAACTTGAGAATCCCACCTGAGACTTGACCAATTGACTTCTTGAAATCTCGTCAACCTTCCTCTAGCCTTCTTGCTCTTTCCTGGTATTGTTCGCAAACTCTCTTCATTACAACCGTTTAGAATCTTCCTCGAATTCTCCAACTTTCATTAGAACTTCTAATGAACGTTGTACCTTCTTGTCTATACCCTGTTGATTGAATGACTTAGTCCTATAGCTAGTTTTGAGAATTCAGCTCTTGGCCCCTTATTTCCAACTTACTATAGAGGTTCCTCCTTCTGTCACCTCTCATGTACCCTAGGAGGCTAGGTGTTCCCTCTATTTAAGAGAGAACAATCCCATAACAGATCATCGTGAACTCTTGCATACCCCTTCCAACGGTCCCAACATCCTCCTGACCTTTTGTGATCTGGGTAGTTTTTAGGGTCTCTACTATCCTTCTTCTAACTCGGTGTTATCTTGGTATCCAACTCACGCACTTCTGAGAAGTGGTTCTCTATTTGTACTGCCATCTACTAGCTAACTGTTATTCCCTCTCACATTCCATATTTGTTCTTACTTATTGACTCCCCGCTGTCTTCTACGTGGCATGCTTTAGACTTTGGTGGCACTTTCCTCCACGTCTTGTCCAATGGTGGTCGTACTAAAACCATAACTTGTCCTCTACATCATTTACCTCGTTGCTTGTCTTGTTTCTTTTAAAGGCCTGTCATCGGCCTAACTCCCCAGGGTCATGTACCCTCTTCTCTAGTGACGTAGCTTATCTATAAGGTTTCCTTGACTTATTGACTTCTTGACGTTATATGTAAACGACCATACCTCATCTTCGCCTTGACTTATTGACTTCTTGACGTCCTTTCATACTCCCTATAACCTACTTATTTCCTCCTTCGCTTCCTTTATACTACCCCTAGCATTTATTCCCTTGGAGATTCATGTTTCTCCCCTTTGTTTGTCTTAGCTTATTAGATCATCCACTTGTTCCCTAGTAGTAAATCCTCGTACTACTCTCTCAACTCCTTCAAAATCCTTGAGGTATTCCCTTTCAATTGGCACCTCTTTGCTGGTGTTTGGAGTTGAAGTCCTCGCACATTTGATTCTATCTTGAGAGCCTTTGAGATTCTACTTGGGTTGGTCACGTTTCTTTCATCCTTTCTTTCTTACTGATGATCGCCATACGCCTCATCCCCCTAACATCTTAAACTTAACGTGGTGGCTCTTCACCATGATTCTCAAGGGCATAACTGCTGCCCATCTTAAAAATCTCAAGAGCATAACTGCTGTTCTATCTCAAAGATCTCAAGAGCATAACTGCTGCTCTATTTGAAAATCTCAAATGGCAACGGACTGGCGCTAGTGACTAAAAACACTTAAAACGACTTCACCTTCTTGAAGGTGAGTTACTTCTTTAAAGGGACTCGTTTATTAAACTTTAACAATACATTATACTCGTAAATTTTCAAAGTAAATAATAAACATTCACTTCACGCATAGCTCAAACAAAATCACATATCATCAACCATAAGCACAATCAACAACGACAATCACTTCATCAAAATACTTAAAGCTCGAAATACTTGAAAGAACACGTAAGGCGTAGAATTTACCCCCTTTACACTCACCTTGACTTCGTCGACCTCGACTCTGATTCTTATCTGAAATTTCCACAACTTGCTCCCATTCAATTTCCTCGTTCCCAAGATTCAATTGGCGCAAACGGTTTCTCGTTTGGACGTCAATTGATCGAGTTACGACCAAAATAAACATTCTGTCTGTTTTTCAATGTTCCAGGTACCGAGACTGCAATTATCCAGTCAACACCATTGACTCGGAATTCTTAGTAAAATTACGATTGTGGTCCCTATACTTTTCGAATTGTCACAAACAGTACCTGAATTTGTCCGACTTTCACTTCAACCTTTCGATGCTCGTTTCTCCCTCGTCTGACGTCAGAATCCGATTTCGTCGACTCGGTGATGCTCTTGGGATTGCCCTCTACGAGATGATACCCACCACTTGACGAATGGTCGAAGTCGGCTATGTCGGGGCCGTCGACGGAGCTCTAAAACGTCGGAGGAATACCACTTCTTTTTTCTCCTCGACCCTTCTTTTAATTCTCTCCAAATCATCATCGTCGGAACTATTCTCAGACCGCGAGCTCCTCTTCCACTTCTTCTCCCTTTTGTCGTCCTTCTTTCTCCTCTTCGAGGATTTTCTTACATCTTCATCTCGCGCTTCGTCAATTTGGTCCCTGGGTATGAATTTCAGACCAGAAAAACATCTCTCCCCGATTGCAATTAACCCTTCAATGCTTCACTGAGCTGCAACTCCGATCAGCGACACAAAAGTCCCTCTTTTTTCTTCTGAGCAGCGACGGAAGACGAAAGCAGCGGAAGGCGGCAAGCAGAAAACGTGGGGCCCCGCCAGCTACTCTTCTTAGTCGAGGATTCTTCCTCGCGAGTGATGAATGTTAAGTTGTTTACGCAAGAATGAAGAGGGAATATAGTTTTAGGGTTTCCTTTAGTGCAGGGATAGGGAAACCGAGAGAGATGGGATCGTGGGAAATTTGGGTTAATGAGGGCTCGGCCCTCTTTGGCCCCCTTTTTTTCTAATACTACTACTAATAATAATAATAATAGTTATTATTATTATTATTATTATTATTATTATTATTATTATTATTATTATTCCTAATCCCCGGTTGCAACTCTTCGTACATACTCGTTAAACCAACCGTTCACGTATTATGGTCGAACCAAAACCCAAAGGTCGGGGTGTTAAAGCGTGTAGGCCAAGTAGCGAGCGGGCCACAAGAAAGGGATGGGATACTACCCACCCCGACGACCCAAGAGATAGCAGCAGCTCGTGGAAAGGCAAAGATGGCAAGCTACGACAACATAGTCCCAGTGCGACCTATGGGTCGATGGAGGGGGAAAGGAAACCAAGGCAACTCCGATGCGTTCTACCCACCTCTAATGACTCATTGGACTGAGAAGAGGAATTCGAGTAGGTTTCAGGAATTCAGGCGCCAGGCGTGGGTGGGATCAGGAGGTTATGTGAGCTACTCCGAGGATGATCAGTATTGCAGAGAGAAGCATGGCTACCCCAATCCTCGGTAAGGGAGACAACAATGTAGGGAGGTATGGTGACTATAACCCATGTTTGCTGGTGATGATGATCTTGTGTTCAGGGCTAGGCCTCCGACTATTGAGTTTCAGAAATTCAATGGTCACGGAAGACGTTGGTCTATGGTGGTATGATGCTTAAAGGTGGTTCAAGAACCATCCCACCAAGAAGGAGAGGAAGGTGAACTTGGCGTCTTTCTACTTGGAGAGTGATGCTCTACAGTGTTGGGAGTGGTTGGAGCGGTCATACGCGTAGGCACATACCATGACTACCTGGTCGAGGTTCCTAGAGGAGCTTTGGTATCGGTTTGGTAAGTCAGAGGGTTGGGCACCGGAGCACGTGGCTAAACTCTGACAAACTGGGATGGTGGCATAGTACAAAGCAGAGTTTCTCAAGGTGGGCAAGTGTAATGGGGTTGATATGACCAAATTATACAGCTTCAACAATCTTTTTATGCCTTGCTTGATTTCTCCTTTCATGAACTTGAAAATAAAGAGAGATACTGAATCAATCGGACAATCCCAACTTGTGACAACGGGAAATTGGTATATGAAACCAATCAGACAGAATCAACTCATGGAAATGGGCAATTGATATAGGGTATATGCTCACCACAACTAGACGCGATCTCTAATTGATAAGAGACATGTGAAACCTCATGAAAATTCTTCGACAGAAAGCTTGCACAAACGGTCACTAAGGAACACGAGTAAACACTCTAAACTTTGATTGATAACTTGAATGAATGAATACAAAATTCGTAGGTCTTACACCCTCTATTATAGAGGTCACAAAATCATAAAATTAACCTTCTATGAATAGGAAAACAAATCACAAACTAAGTAGGAAACATAAGACTAATTAAATAAGGTCTATAACTACTAATTCAACTCCTAGATAACCAAAATAAATAATTAAACAAATAATCCCCAAATTTGCACAGCACCGTTGTATGCGTCCTCCTTTCCTTGTCCTTTGCAGTAGCGAAACTTCTTCTTGTTCTAATCATCTTCGCACGTGCCCCTTTCCACTGCGGACTCCTGTCTTCCGCAAATAAAAACTCTTCCACAATGACAAGCAACCACCAAGCTGTGCAGCTTCATCCCCGACCAGCCAGCCCGACGCCAATCCTCGACCTGCTTCCCATCATTCTTTTGGGGCTTTCTTATCAATGAAACTACTTGGAACCCTAGCTTCGACCCAGTTATTAATCATGCATGCAAATAAACATCCATGCCATGCTTGGACCTGCACATTGCTTCCATCCCATTATCTCACATGTGGCCAATTGAATAATCCATGCAATTTGTCTTCACGTTAGCTAGCATAATCCATCCTTGCATGGACACGTGTAGTTGGCAGCAACTATGAATGTTTTAAGTGCCATTTATCCACTAAGAATGTCTCCCAATTGATCATTATATCGTTGAATCTGAATCTTCATTTTCGGACCTTAGGGATTTAAATATCGTGCTAGTCGATATCACATCATTCCCTCTCTCTTGAAGAAGATTCACCCTCGAATCTTTACATGATTTGGATCTCGGATCAACCCTTGACTTCTTGTTCTTCCAACGAAATTGTCTTGATAGTGAGGATTGTATAATTTCGCCATTCTTAAAGACAATTCGTCCATGAATTGTAAATACTCCATTTTGATAAAAACCCTCCACGTAGCTCTGAACTTCTCGTCGATTCTCTAAACGAGCTTCATTTTTTGAAATTGCATCTCTAATCACAAAATCAATATGAGCATGTTTGAGAACTATTGGTAAGTCCTTCATAATTTTCGTGGCTTCATCTTCTCTATCGAATTCTGGTTGCTGATAGAATGGGTAAACTTCAGGTGCAATCAAAACTAGTACATAAACAAGAACATCTTCTTTCTCCTCTTCAATCAATGTTTATGTCGGTTTGCTTAGTGTGATACTTCGACTATCTGGTAGCTTCTCTTTTGGAACCATCATCTAGTTGTAATAATTCATCACGTCTAAAACTTCTAGACTCTTCTCTTGTACCTCCATAGTAGCTTCAAACGATTGATCTTGCTCATTGTCGAACGTAATCACAATCACCATATTGTCTTTCTTTATGGTTCTGAATCCAAATAATTAAACAAGAACCATAAATACACAAATACAAAAAAAAAAAATTCACGTACAACTTTGTGGGTATATTACAATATTCAGTTTTCTTACTTTTTCCCTACTCACATAGATTTGAAATAGAAAGGAAAAAAAAAACAAAACAATTGACCTTGAATACAAGTAAAAGAAATGTAACATCCCGGACCTTTTCCCGACGAAGATATTGGCCCAATTTTTCCCTACTCACTTAGATTTGAAATAGAAAGGAAAAAAGAACAAAATAATTGACCTTGAATACAAGTAAAATAAATGTAACATCTCGGACCTTTTCCTGACGAAGTTATTGTCCGCTTTGGGCCTCGACCCTCGCGGTTTTCGACTTGGGGTGCAATTCAAGGTGACTTCACATAAGGTCACCCATCCTTGTTGCACTCCACACTGAGCATGTTTAACTTCGGAGTTCTCACAAGAACTCCTCCATTTCACCCAAAAACACATCTTGTCAGTTCAGGCTGATTTCTTACTTATAAACCATGTATCTAGTCCATGCTTTGTCGATGTGTGATTCGCATAATGTGTTACAAGAAATATGATAGCTCACGTAAAAAAACAAGAACACCTTCCTTTTGTTTTAACCCTTTGTCTAATCACTTACAAGATGGAAAACAGACAATTAAACTTCTTTTTGATGTTTTAGTTAATCTGCCTTTTTCATATTTTTGTTCTTTTGCTTTTCTTGAAAATACCTCTTATAATGATAAAGAAAAATAACAAGAATTGAAAATAAAAGATATAGGTATAACTCATGAAAAATACCTTCAGGAACCTTCCAGAACGTCCTTCTTGCCGCTGAGTTTGAATCTGTTTCTAATACCACTTGAGATGACCAAAGTATACAACTTCAACAATCTTTTTATGCTTATCCTGATTTCTACTTTCCTGAAATCGAATATAAAGATAGATATGGAATCAATCGGACAATTCAAACTCGTAACAATGGGCAATTGATATATGAAACCAATTAGACAGAATCAAGTCGTGGAAAGGGGCAGTTAATGTAGGGTAGATGCTCGCCACAACTAGACGTGATCTCTAGTTGATAAGAGACACGTGAAATCTCCTGCAAACCCCTGACAGAAAGCTTGCACAAACATTCACTAAGGAACATGAGTAAACACTCTAAACTTTGATTGATAACTAGAATGAATGGGTACAAAATTCGTAGGTCTTACACCATCTATTTATAGAGGTCACAAAAACATAAAATTAACCTTCTAGGAATAGGGGGGAAAATCTCAAACTAGGTAGGAAACATAAGATTAATTTAATAAGGACTATAACTACTAATTAAACTTCTAAATAACCAAAATAAATAATTAAACAAATAATCTCCAAATTTGCACCGTCCCACTGCGCTCGTCCTTCTTTCTTGATCCTTTGCGGTAGAGGAAACTTCTTCTTGGTCATCTTCATCCGTGTCCCTTTACGTCGCAGACTCTTGTCTTGTGAAAATAACAACTCTTCCGCAATTACAAGCAACCACTACGCTGCTTGGCTTCATCCCCGACCAACCAGACAGCCCGACGCCAATCCTTGACTTGCTTTCGATTGGCTTTCTTGTCGAGGACCCTAGAGGGAACCCTAGTTTCAACCCACTTATTAATCATTCATGAAAATAAACATCCATCTCATGCTTGAACTTACATGTTACTAGCATCCCATTCTCTCACATGTGGATAATCCATGCAATTTTTCTTCACGTTAACTAGCATAATTCATCCTTTTATGGTCACATGTAGTTGGCAGCACATATGAATGTTTTGAGCACCATTTATCCACTAAAAATAATCTCAATTGATCCTTATGTAGTTGAATCCAAATCTTCATTTTTGGACCTCGCGAATTAAATATTGTGCTATTCAATATCGCATCATGTTATGACAACATTAATAGGCATCACATTTAAATTCTAGGCACATTTCCTTTCAATGTTTGACAAGAAACATGTCTTTGCATAAATAAAAGATGATGATAATATGGTGGTGACTTTTGGAATGGAGTCTAGTAGGGCAATTAAAAATTGATTCGACTGGTCGGCCCCAACCGATTGAGTGATTTATCCAACATTTCCAACACCCCCCCCTAGTGTATTCATAAATCCACTAAAACTACGACATTCTTCCAATAAAATTTAACCATAATTGAAATAATCGTGACGATTGAATTTTCATCTTAGTATATTACACTTTATGTATATTAGAATAGACGGGTGTCGCTAACGATTGAACTCATCTATTGAACTGAATATTCGAAGATAATACACACTTATACTTTTACAAACTTGTAAGTAATGTTAACACTATTACCCGTCATGTGTCCCAATCCTTCTCATAAGCGCACACAAAACCAAATTTCGGGTTTCTTGAAGCAACTGCACTTCATGGTTACATAGGTTGGATCTTTTATTTGTGTACTCGAATAATACACTTTCTCAAAGATGCAATTAAGAATTTTTAAACGTCATCCTCTTATCTCATAAGGATAACAGGAACATACGTAGGGATGATGCATTATGTGCTTCAATTTATGAAAAATATGCTTTGCTCAATGAATTCAGCCTCTAATGTTGTATTAGAGGGGAACTGGGTGTCTCATGCTTAGAAATCATATGGACTTTAAACTTATCTCTTTCACAAACTTGAGTACCAAGTCTCTAGCTAATCCTTTCTTCAAATGATCAACTAAATTCTCTTGAGTCCAGACATGCTGCATAGACACAACTCCGCGAGTGATCAATTCACGAATTTTACTATGTTTAACTCCCATATTGCGGGGCTTGCCATTATAAACTTGGCTATATGCCTTAGCCAAAACAACATTACTATCACAAAAGATAGAAATTGGTGAGATTGATTTAGGACATAAAGGAATGTCATAAACCAATTCTCTTAACCACTATGCCTCTCCTCCGCCAGGAGCCAACGCAACAAAATCTGACTGCATAGTGGAACTAGTGATGCATGTTTGCTTTTTAGAGGCCCAAGAGATGACACATCCCCCAAGCAAGAAAAACTACCATGATGTTGAAGTATGATCTTAAACATCAGAAATCTAGCTGGCATCAGTGTTTCATTCCAAAATTGATGGAAATCCACTATAATTCAACTCATAATACAATGTGTCTTTGAGATATCCTAGCACACCTCTCACTGCATGCCAGTATTGAGCACTAGGATTACTCGTATGCCAACTTAATTTTCCTACTGCATATGTGATATCTGGTCATGTGCAAGTCATTGCATCCATCACACACACAATAACCTTGGAGTATTGATGACTCGATATTTGCACATGTTTTCCCCCTTTGTTTCTTAATCGTTTGGGCTTTAATTATCGCGTCTTTGGCCTATTTTATGCTAGGTTGTGTTCCTTTGTCACATTTCAGGTCCTAGCACATAAAGTGAAGCATAGGCGCAAGTTTCAAGTCAATCAGAGATCAATTGGCGATTAGGGAGAAGAAACTCGGGCATGACCTGAAGAAGAATGGATTTCTATCTCACTTTATGGACAAATAATCATGAAAGCTAGTAATTAAAAGAAAGAGGACGAGACTACGAGCGTCTGGGATCAAACGGCGACTGATTCGGAGTCCAGACGAGGGAGAAACGAAGCATTGATTATAGGGGAACAGGTTCGGCAGTAAAAACACGGGCGCGCCTAAATCAAAACACGACCGTGTCCATATTTAGGCACGACCGTGTTTTGCCCAGAATCGGGTTTTTTAAGCCAATTTTGAGCCAAAGGATAGGGAGAGCTGGGTTTTGGATCTCAAACACCCAAGGGACGAACCAAAAAGAGAGAGGGCGATTTGAGGGTATTCTAAGAGTGGAATTGGAGGATTTCTTCGCCTTGGAAGCTCGAGGAACAAGCCCGGACTTGAAGACTAATCATCTGAAGATTCTTACTGCAGTCTCTCTCTTCTCTATGGAGTAACTTCCCTTCACTTAGGTTTTGAGGAACCCTAGCTATGTTTGTTTGATTGGATGATTGTATGAGTAATCTGACTTGATAATCTTGAGTTCATATTCAATCTATGCTATTTTCATGATTCAATTCTGCTTTACTCGAGATTATTGATTATGCTTTGATCCTATGAGAGCGAATACCTGATTAGGTCAATAGAGCACCATAGATTGATAGTATTGGATCGATTGCTTTAGTCGAGGGTTGATTCACTACTTTGTATCGATTGAGAACCTCATTCGATAGAGGGAGTCTAGTTCAGAACGCCTTGATCGGTTGCCCATAATCGACTCAAGAGGGCCTTGATCGGTTGTTCTAAAGAAGGATATGTTCCTATAGGCAATCGACTCAAGGTCTAGTCAAGGATTCTCCGCATTGTGAATGAAAGTGAAACAAGTTAGAAATCATCAATCATTAATCTGGCTAGTGGCTAGGGGGAATCATACCTAAGTGACTTCCCAACCTGTAATTAGATTAACTTTAACTGTAGTTCGCTAGAGTAGTTTTAGTTATTCTATCTTAATCTGGTTTGCTAGATAATGAACTGAAGCTGAGTAATAGTAACTCTAGAGACCCGTGGATTCGATATTTATTACTTGAGCCACTATACTGCAGTCCCTTTCATTGGTTACACTTGGCCATTGTTAGGAGTTGTGTCGTAGCGAGTCAAGTATTCCAATTGTGAAACTGATTGCTCAGTATTAGGCAAAAGTTTCATACTTGGATCCATTGGTGTTTTTAATTCACGACATCTTTCACTATGAAATTTAGCAAGTACCTTCTCAAGGTAATGAGATTGAGACAAGGCTACTTTTTTGCCATTTTGCTTGATTTTGATACCTAAAATCACATATGCCCCCCATGTCCTTCATGAAGAATTTAGATGAAAAAATCATTTGGTGAGTTCCGCTTGTCATCTACATACAAACATATGATGAATCCATTACCAGAATCATCAAATTTTGTATATACATATTTGTTGGCTTGGTTTAACTTAAAACCACCAAACAAAATCACATCATCTAACTTATGATGCCATTGTTTTCGAGTTGGCTTGAACCCATACGAAGATTTGATCAACTTGAATACTTTATGCTCTTGATCGAGTATAACAAATCCTACGAGTTGTTTCATATAAATCTCTTCATCCAAGTCTCCATTTAAGAATGTTTGTCTTCACATCCATTTGATGGATAATTAGATTTTGAATTGATGCTGGAGCAATTAGTAATCTAATGGTGTAAATTCGAGTAACAAGTGCATGAGTATCAAAGTAATCAATCTCATGTTTTTTCATTTTCCTTTTGAAATCTATTTATTACCCAAAGATTTGCATCCAGGTGGTAAATATGCCAACACCCATGTTTTGTTTCCCATGATGGAGTCTATTTCATCATTAACGCTTAATTCCAAAAGGAAACGTCACGAGACTTGATAGCCTCATCAAATATTTTAGGATCATCCTTATATTAAAATAATATGAATATTGAGAGTGTACTTCCTCTCTAGAGCCTTCCACAAGATACATGTGCAATCTTACTTCTTTTACTTTGATGAATAATGGGTAAATATGATTGAGAAGTATCTTCCACAATCACATCATTAACATGAGAAACTATGTCTTTTGGTCATCACATTGTTGAAATTAAATCGATTTTCATAAAAAAATGATGTCTCTTGGCTCAATTATATAATGAATTGAGTAAGCATTGTTTGGTTCTATAACATAGAACTGATATGCCTTAGGGGTCGTTTGGATGAGGAATTCTAATGAATCAATCTGATACAATTATCTCATTTTGAGTCAATTGTGCTAGATAGATCCGTTTGGCAGCAGAAATTTTGGATGAAGCAATTTGGGTTGGAGAATTCTGAATTGACTCATTTTGAGCCAATTACAATTGTCCGGGGTGAGGGCAGGTAATCTGAATTAACTCGTTTTAAATGACTCGTTTTGTAAAATGAAACAATTGATCAAATTGTCTCATTTTACAATTGATCCATCCAAACGACGCCTTAGAATTTTTAGCATATCCAGCAAAGATGTAACCAATGCTTCTTTCTCCTCGCGTCTTCCTTTTCTGATCAGTTAGTCGCACGATAGCCCGACAACCCCAAACTTGAAGATATTCCAAGGTTGGCTTTCTTTTAGGCAAAATATAGCTGTATATCCACAACTTTCAGGTTTGTGACAAATATATCCACAACTATCGAAATACACGATATATCCAAAAATCGGAGGGTCGTGTGACAAATCTATCCAATTTTGTCTGAAACTTTAACGGCGTGGAATACACTAACGGAATGCTGACTCAATGTCGTATCACTTGCCACATAAGCCAAAAAGTAATAAAATGTTACACGTGGATTCCAAATAGGCAAAATGAATAAAAACGAAAATAAAAAATCCACTTCCCCTATTTAATCCGTTGGGCTCTTCCCTCATCCCCCATTCCCCAATCTAAAAAAATTAGAGTTCATCCTTGGTCTTGGTTCTGGTTCAAAGTCAAAATCGACACCATCGGAGAGGACGTCGCTGCGTGCGTTGAGCAACCTCGTCATCGGCGGCAGTCAACGACATCGTCAACAAACAACTTCGCGGCACGCATCACTTCAATTTCCAGCGAATCCGAGTTGGGCGAGGTTGGTCTCGAGATGTCTAAGCGCCGATCTTCATCTGCGACAAGCATCAATAGCGGTGGGGTGGTTCTTTGCGAGCACAATGTTCGCGCTGTCGTGAAGACATCGGGCACCTCGACCAACCCAGGAAGGCAGTTCTATGGATGCCCATATTGGCAGGTAAAACATAGAATCTGGGTTTCTATACGCGTGACACAATGCTGGTTTTGGTTTGTTGTCTGGATGGTTCTTGGTACATAATGTGGATGGAAAAAAGAAGTGTCGGTTTTTTAGGTGGGTTGAGAGGGTTGATGATGGAAACCAGGATCTGGAGGCCATAATAGTACAGTTGGAAGATGCATTGCGCCTCGCTGAGTCCAAGGCGGAGAGGAGGAAGAAGAAGAAAAATGTGTTGATCAAAGATATGGTTGCTCAATGAAGGAGAATGAACGATGATATTCGGGCTATTCGCTTAATGATAGGCATTGTGATAGTTTCCAATGTTTTCTTTCTTCTCTTTTTGTGGAGGAACCAAACTGGTTTGTAGAGGATGGGGGGGAGGGGGGAAGTAGTCTTTGTAACAGGGAAGTAGTCTGTGTGCTTTTGTATAATGGACCAAGATATTGTGATTGCAATGAAAGTTGATATTGAAATGGACCACATAGAGGCATCCCCTAATACGTAGTACATATTACAAACATCCCTAATACAGAGTACATATTACAAGCATCCACTAATAATACTACTTGAGTCATGTCCTAACATAGCATTCTAATGTTTACGAGTACAAACCCACGTCATGTTACATAGCAAAAGACCACTATAACTCAGTCGACTTCCAAAATACCCTCCTCGGAGGTCATTACATGGGGCTGCCAAAAAATAGAAGTCGACTGTCAATAATTGTTAAGTTCATCAAGTCTCTGGTTGTGTTGCTGGGGGGATGACTTCCCTGGACGTCTACCACTGTAGGTTGACACACATCCACTGCACGTCCACGTGCTCCATTCACCTAAAAAGGAACACGTAAATAGTCACAAATTTAGACACAAATTGCTTCCAAAAGGAGCATTCTGATGAATCTGGAACTTACCCTAACATACTGGTTACCAGTAGTTTCATCTACATAGACTCATATTCCTCTTGTTGCTACCCTCATCTCACGTTCTATGGTTCTTCGATCATCGAAATTTATCCTTACTTGCTACAATGATACAACACATCAGAATCACATTGTAGCTCACACTCTAGCAAAATAAAGTTCACATAATACCTGAATTCCAGACCCTTGATTAAGGGGACAGGTTCTAGCATTATGTGTGGCAGAACCACATTTGCTGCAATGGGACACTCTTGTCCTCTTTCCAGTTGCTGAGGCAGGTTGTTGCGTGGCCTCCCTAGCTCTAGGAAGGGCCCTGCTCCTCTGCCAATAACAAAAACAAAAGATTAGCAATGGAAAATGACTAGCACAAACACTTTAATTACGGACAAAAGTGTACTCACGGTTCTTGGTGCCTCAACTACCGTGGGAGACTTGCAAGTTCGTGCATTGTGGCCTCTACACCACACTTGCCACAATGGATTAGGGTTCCCCTTTTCGAGACTTCCTCGCTCACTCCATTCGTTTGAGGTTGAACCTCAAACTCATGTGCTGCTTTCCTCCTATTTTTTTAGGCCTTCCAGGCATAGCTCTTTGTTTTGGAGGGAGCACAGGGTAGCCATAGGCTTCTGGCCATGCTTGTCTCCCATCGAAACAAGGAATGCCTACCTTGTATGCATCCAATACCACATGAGTCTAGAAGCATTGACTAACGTACGAATCAATGTCTTTCCTCATATGTGAGATTGCGGAAACAACATGGCAGCATGGTAATCCACTCACTACCCAATACCCACAACTACAACTACGATTTTTGAGGTCGACAATGTACCCTCGACTTCCCATCTTAACCTCACACTTGTCATCTAATGTTTTCCTAGAAGTGCACAATCTAGCAAGAGCCTTCTCCTTCTCAATTCTCTTCCTAATTCTGGGGCATAACTGATCAGGGTTATCATACAACATTTTGTACTTCAATACAATCCTATCCATCAAATACCCCCTAATACCCTCAAGCATGTCAATCAGCCTCATTCCCCTATACTTGATTATGGATTCGTTCCACGTTTCACATATATTGGATTCCACAGAGTCACATTTGGGAATAGGGGATAGGAATGCTCGACAGAAATACCTAGGCTCTTGATCCATGAAGTCTTTGTAGGGTGTTGTGGATGGATCTGCTGCTTCTATGGCTTGCAATTCTGCACAAGTCGCCTTCCAATCTACTCCATTACAGGAGTAGACCGCCTTCCAGAAGCTTTTCCTCACAACATCTGTTTTGTTTTTTGCCTTCCAATTTGCATAAACGTGCCTAGCACATTTTCTATGCTCAGCTTCAGGTAGGAGATCACGTAGAGCTTCAACAAGTCCCTTTCAATCAAAACATTTGGAAACTAAACAGCTAGAAGTGTAAAGGATTAATGATTGACACAAACATTTGGAACTTAAATAGCGAGGAAACTTTCCCACCTTCTGCTGGTTAGAAATGACACTCCAACCTCTTCCATCTAACATGCCTAACTCTTGAGACAAAGTGTTCAAGAACCACCTCCAAGAATCTGCATTTTCACCCTCCACTACAGTCCACGTGATAGGATACATCTGATTATTCCCATATTTACCCACAACAGTTAGAAGCATCCCTTTCACTTCCCCTTTCAAAAAAACACCCATCTAAACCAAACATTGACCTGCAGCCCCCTGAGAAAACCTTCTTTCAGGTTAGAGAACCCTACGTACAACCTTTTGAAAAACACCTTCTCTTGACTGGGATGTGGATCCACCTCCAAAATGACCCTCCCATGTCTGTCTCGTTTGACCATTTCAGCTATATAGCTCCGCACAACCTCATACTCAACTACCAAACTCCCACTCAACATCTTTATAGCTTCTACCTTTTCCCTATAGCAGGTTCTCTTCTTAACATCCATGTTGTGCTTCACATCCTCATGCTCTACATTTGCAAACTTCAGCCGAGGAAAAAACTGGAACTGAGAATGATCACACCTTGGATCACAATGGGGAGCAATAGCAAACGGTTCACCACCATCCTCGTCTGACAAATTAGGCCTGACATGATCTGAATCTTCTAATAGACGATAGCGGGAATGTTGGGTAATCTCTTCCCTTGCTTCATGTGTTGGAGGCTCGTCATTGTTCTGGGCTGCTTGCTCAGGTATCTCACTGACCAGATCTGCACCATCTAAACCAGCCTCGGCATCACCATCTTGGCCACCATGTTCAACCTCATCAGTCTTCTTCTTCAAACTCATCTAGCTGCTCAACCTCCTCTCCATGGTAGTCAGACCTGGCCTTCAACTTCCTTTTTCTCATCTCCCCGTAAGCCCTTAGATTGACCCTCGCAGCATGATATTCATCATCTGAAGTGTCTGCATCGTCTGAGTCATAGACATAGAACACTTCTTTAGCAATAGATTGATCTCCATCCAGTGCTACAAATCTATGAGGTGATTCGGCCGGTTGTCCTGGATCGTTCTCTCCCACCAGTTCTTCCCACGAGCCAGCCATCTGAACACAAACATGATTAACAATAGCATAACCACTAATTAGTTGTTAACCTTAGGTTTATATTTTATTACCCACTACCATCCAAATAAACAACACACTCAGAAACCATTATTGTATGATAGGGATTTCACAACCCAAGAATTAAAATACGTATATACCCAGGAGAAGCAGGTTCTCACCGTCAGATTAAGGGGCAAAATTGCGACAACCAGAATTCCTCAAACAGCAGTTGTCCCTTCTCGAAATTGCTATGTCGCTTTCCCACCTTGAAATCAACCACCGAATCACGAAAAGTAGACAATCCATTATAAGAACCTTTCGAACCAAAATCAAAATACACAACAAGTTTATTTGAAGGGTATGCGAAACTCACAAATGAAGAGAGCCTGAAACTGGAACTTCTTGGCCGCGATTAGGGTTTCTCGGCAACGATCTTCTCGGGTTTCCTAGCCTTCGACGGTGCAACTTAGATTTCCCCATTGTGCTTGTGTTTTGACAGAAATATGGTGCTCCTGAGAATCACCATGGTGCGGACTACATGGAACCTGTCAGTGTAAAATGGAGGCGATGGTTGGGGTTCGTGGTTCGAATCGAAATCTGGCCTTGGGGTAGGGTTAATTGGGGGGTGGAGGCGTCGATCGGAGGAAGATCGGTGATTATCCATCGTGTTTCTGGGTTTGAAGCTCTACTCTCGCCGTCAAGGTGGTCGGAAAATGGAGAGCTTAAGGAAAGGGGAGAAGACGGATCGAAAGTATAAATGGAAGGTAATGCTTCGTTTAGTGGTTTTAGTTTTTTTTGTGTTTTTTTTTTCCTCTTTTAATCCACGTCAGACAGTGGGGTCAAAAACCCACCACATAAGCAACCACCGTTTGTCGAGTCATCAGGTTGACTGACGGAGTTAACGGAGAAGACGGAAATGGATATATCGTGTATTTTGATAGTTGTGGATATACAGGTGTATTTGCCTTTCTTTTATGTCATAGTTTATTGAAGTAATAACATTCCTTTATTAAGAACCCTATTTAATAAATAGCAAGCCGTTAATAGCTTTCCCCCAAAAACCCATTACTCATGCCAGAGTAAGAGCATGGAATTAACCATGCCCTTTAGAGAGCAATTTTCCTCTCCAATATCCCATTTTCTTGAAAGGTGAATGGTGTAGAGGTTTCATGTATGATCCCCATACTTTTGAAGTAAGTCGGATCATAGTATTCACCACCCCGACCCTTACTCAAAGTTTTGTTTGCTTTTTATTGTAACTCCACTTAAGCTTTAGAGATACCAAAGTGACTAAGATTCAACCTTAGTTTCCAACAAGTGCACATAGCAAACCCTGGAATATTCATCAACATAAGTGATGACATATTTCTTTCCTCCTAAAGTAGGAGTGTTATATAAATCACATAGATCACTATGTTCAAGTCCGAGTACATTGGAGTCCTTTTGTATGTGTTTAAACGATTGTCTAGTGAATTTTTTCAACATACAAGTTTTACACTTAACATGTTCAGAATCAAAAGAAAGGAGAAGTCCCTCTTTAGACACTGTCACAATTCGCTTGTAATTCACATGCCCCAATCGTGCATGCCACAAAGACGAATCAAATAGTGGTAGTCATGTATGCAGAAATAAAATTATTATTTTTATTATTACTATTCAACATAAATATACCATTATTATAATAACCAAATCCGACAAACACCGTGAATTAGTATAATATATATTTATCGGAGTCACAAACTTGGCGATGCCCAAGTTTATTGAGTACAATTCCAGAAACCAAATTATTTCTAATATTAGGCACATGT